CACACACACACACACACACACACACACACACACACACACACACACACTGCTGAGTTAATTTTGTAGCCATGAGGCTTCAAGGCTTACTGCTCTGCCCTGGAAAGCCAGTAAAGCAGTTGCCTGTGCCCCGCGCTGGGTACAGTTGTGGTTCTCTAGGATGGTCTACATTTGCTGTTAAGAGAGCATTCTTTGCAGGGTGGTAACACTTATGGAGTAGAGGTGGCCCTCATGCAAAAAGAGGGTTGGAAGTAGATTCTAAGTTTTCAGACCATATTGGATTAGAAGCCCTACTTTATCTTCTGAGGCGGAGTCTGCTACTGAAACTGGAGCTCATCAATTGGCTAGACTTGTTGGCCATTGAGTTTCCACAGTCTTCCTGTCTGCACTTCTCAGCACTGGGGTGACAGGTGCATGCAGCCACACCCGGGCTTCATGGGTGCTGGGTACCACATTCTTAGTCTTGCTTGAAGATTTTCTTTATTACTGTAAATTCGGTTATGATCACTTGCAAAACAGTATCTCCTTTGGTCAGTTTTATATTTATTAATGAAACTGAGAACATTCAGCATGGCTAGTATTCCAAGTAACCAAGATTTTAGAATTAACTGAAAAAACAAATTAGTATTATAAATGGATTTCTATTTCCTACTGAAGACAAAGGAAACAAGAAGGAACATGGGTGGAATAAGAAAGTCGGGCATAGTTGTGGGGATACACTTAATACATAATAGTTAATTTCATTTTAAAATACCTCCAATAGGGCTGAAGATATTGCTCAGCAGTTAAAAGCATTTGTTCTCGCAGAGGACCTGAGTTCCAGTCTCATCCCAGGCAGGGCAGCACACAACCCTACAGAAAACCACCTTTGAGAGTATCCATCACCCTCCTCTGGCCTTCAAAGGCACCAGACACATGCAAGCAAAACACCCACACACAATAAAAATCTTTAAAAAAAAGTTTAATCTTTTATAATGGAAACAGTAAAATTTAACTGAAAACATCTCACAAAAATGTGAAGCTTTTAAAATATAATTTAAAAATATATGTGTATGTGTAGCATGTATGCAGGTACCTAAGGAGACTAAAGGATGGTGTCAGAGCCTTCAGAACTGGAGTTAGAGGTGGTTGTGACCTGCCTGATGGGTGCTGGGAACCTAACTTGGGTCCTCTGGAAAAATAGCAAGTCCTCTTAGCTGCTGAGCTATCTTCCCCAGCCTCAGATGTGTAAAATTTTCTAGAAGAAATATAGTTTGCTTAAAGAATTATTTAAAAAGAAATTGAATATAACCAAAGTTAGAAGACATGCACTTTTATGGACTCTTTACTATATCTTCCTATGCTGTCAGAAAGACTTATTTTCATGAATATTGTTCTTTATTTTGAAGAACGCAGAAGGGGTCACTCCCACCTCTCCAGAATCATGGCCAATGCGTTAATTTCCCTCCTTCTATACCAAGGTGACTACTAAGCCAGGACTTTGTTCTGGTATCATCCAGATACACACTGCAATATAACTTCAGCTGTCTTTGATCAGGTCTTAAAGCATAAAGTGAAACCTTTATGTTTTTTCCTTGCAGACTTTACCTTCAAAAGAAGCATTTTTAAATACCACACAGATGCCTTATATGGGATCACCACCTTTAAGTTGGGGCAACTGGGAACAGAGTTCCAAGTCTCAGCTATTAAGAGAACATGTTTCAAAACTAGATTCCTCTTTTCATCCGGTCTTGTCATTACCATCAGGTAACCTACCTCAAACAAATTTGAGTATTTTCTATAATGAAAACAAGTACAGGCAATCTCTTAAAAATATTTTGCGTTTATTTTTTGGAGATGAGGGATTGTTGAGATGGGGCCTCATTCATTATGTTACCCTGAAACTATTTATGTGTATTGAGCACACTGAATATTTTTGTTTAATTCTCATAACCCTATGAGAACACATTGTGTTGCACTTTTTATCTTACCCATGAGCATATTAAGTTTGGTAAGGTGGTCAATCCAAGATCATTCAGCTAATGAACAATGGAGCCAAGAATTGAGGCAATTCCCCAGACTCTCACTTCTAATACAAGGGTATTATGTTGCTTTATCGTTGACTAATTGCCTGTCTTTATGTCACTTTGAGAGATGAGAGAGCCTCATTCTAACTTGTAACTCTGAGACAGTATCCACATATACTTATCCAGAACTAAGACATCCAAGTGCAGTAAGATTAGCTTCTTTACCTACAAGTTAAAGTCTTGCATTTGGCCAAAATATCAACACTCACTCTATATTGGATACTAAATAAGTGCTACAAGTATGTCTTTCATTACTTGTATTCTAGTTTTAATATCATATAGAAATATAAAATATACACAAATATAAACAAATAAAATACTTTGCTAAAAGTCCACAAGGTACTTTAGGGAGGTACATGGGAAGAACAAGGCCCTTCTCCAAGCTGTGATAAGACTTTCAAGAAGCAAAGTTTTTTAGGCAACTGGAAAACAAAATCTTGTAAACTTTGAACAGTGTTTTAGAGTGTTTAACTTCTATTCCCATTTCATTTTATTCTTGCAGCAAATTCCATGATACTTAGAAAAAAATACACTTAAAAATGTCTATTTACACGTAGATTTGCCATTAAAGTATAAACTTTGAGCCAGGCAAGGTGATGTAGCCCTTTAATCTCAGAACTAGGGAGACAAATGTAGGGAAATTTCTGTAAGTTTGAGGCTAGCTTGACCCACATAGCGAGCTCCAGGCCAGCTAGGGCTATATAGTGAATTAAAAAGTATAATAATAAATATTCATACACATACACACACACACACACACACACACACACACACACACACACACACACACACACTATATATATAAATAAGGCACAGCTTTTGAGAAACCCTGACATATATCCTGTCCGGATATATGTGATCATGACTAATTTTTCCTTTTGCTGGCAAAACATTCAGTAGTTCAAAAAAAAAAAAAAAATGCTCTCGAAAGAATGTTTCCCAGGGGGATTGTATAGGTAGGTGTTTATGCTTTTAAAAAGGATTTTGTTTTCACATTCCATAAAATCTTTACTTTTTGTGTGTTTGTGTGTGTATGTTATATGGTTGTTCAGATGCCATGTGTGTAGAGGTCAGGGATCAATTCTTTAGAGTGAGTTCTCTTGGTGGGCATGGCCATATCTGCTAAACTATGTCATGGCCAGGTTTTACAATTATAAACGAAAAAAAAATCCTCAATTCCTATGAAGTTTGCTGTGAGATGGCTCAGGAAATAGGTCACAGGCCTGACAACTCTATTTCATTCCCTGGGACCTACATGGCAGAAGGGAAAACTGACTTTCATAGGTCCCTGTTGTGGTAAACCCACACCCTCAACACAATGTAATTCAATGTAAAGCGCACCTTGCTTGTTACTTGGCTTCTCTTTGAGTATAAAATCCATACTCAGTATACTTTTTCAGCTGAATTTCCCTGGAAGGAAGACAGCTGCAGGGTGGATGGTAGTCCTTTTACACGTAGCCGCACGTAGTGGTCATGATGGAAAAGAATGTGCAACTTGATGTTGTTATGTATTCTGCTTACAGCAGTGCTTCCCTGTGTAATGACTAGTATCACAAAAACAAAGTCTTTTCATGATTTTAAGTTTTTGTTAAGGGCTTTTGGGGGCATTTGTGCACTCACCTGAGAAGACTGTGAACATCTACAGTTACTGCTCTGACAGAGTAAGGGAGGGTCTTAGAGTAGGGCAGATGCATGTTTAGTATACCTAGTTAGTAACTTTCCAAACATGGCTACCAAACTTCTTGGAAAAGTATTTTGGTACTTCTACTTCTCAAAGTTCTTACTGTGTAAACTTTAAGTGTTATTTATTAAAGGGAAACAAAATTAGTATTAGGCTATGGAAAGAGGTATTAACCAAAAATATTTTTTTACTTTGATTTTCCAGAAATGCCCCTTCATCTTCATTTTGAGACCTTATTGAAGAAGACCGACATAAAAGGAGAGCTTGCTGATAATAAATTTGTAAGCAACTGTATCATATCACCACCACCTGGTACGTCATTTACAAATCATGTGCATTTGTACGTGTTTTTACATCATCTACAATTTTTTTTATTTTAAGTAAATAAAATTTAACAAAAGACTAAATGCAAATCCTTAATTTTTAATACTTTTTCCATAAGTCACACACATACACTGAGAAACGTGGATTGCCTTCTGTTTGCGGCCCTTGGTTCTAGGACATGAAAGAGGGAGGGAGAGGAGAGAAGGTGATAGAGAGTGGGAGATAAAGTGAGGGAAAAAGGGGGGAGAAGAATGAATAGATGATGAACGAATGAATGGACAAACGAACAAACATGGGCACAATCCTGGGACACAATGCATGATACCTACTGAATGAAAGTTATTAAGTATTAATTAAAAATCCTATAATCTTAAAATATAGTAAAATTAAGGTTACCAATTATTTTTATTAGTTTGGATATTTAGTGCAATTTAAATTGGAGTTACAGTAGATTTGGTCATCTTAAAATATTCCACAGCTTGTCAAGAGTACTGAAGAGGAAAAAACATAAAAGGAACTAGTGCTGAAGAAATGTAGCTCAACCACATATAGAGAGGCATGACAAAACCATATAATGGCACAGATTTTATTTTGTTTATATTAGGAAGAGTATATCATGAAATGATCAAGAAAGCTAAGAATTATTCTAATATATAGTATTAGTTTTTCTTAGTAAAAATTTTACACACTTATTTCATAACATAAATCACAATGAATTGTAGTTGGCGGTAATTTTAAATTAAAATTAATATAATAAAATCTCAAGGAAATTATATTGAACTGTTTATGAGTTCTCTGAAATGAAAAAATCAACATATTCTGATTGTCTGCAAAGCTGTAAACTTAGTATCAAAAGAAAACAAACAAAATTTAACCGGGTTAAAAAATATCTACCTGCAAAACTCCGGAGAGTTAATATATGCTAAGTGGGTTTTATTTTTAAAACCAGCCATTTTAGGGCTGAGGAGGGGTGGAGGTGGGGGTCAGTGCTCAAAGGCCCTGAGTTCAGTTAAGAGCACTGGGAAGCAAAGGGATAAAACTAACAAAAACAAGACAAACAAAACAAGCCAAAAAAAAAACATAACAAAAAAAAGTGCCAGCTCTTATAAATTGCAGTAGTCATTAGATCGAATATGTAAAGGAACAAAGACCTCATTCAAGATGATGGCAATGTCTAGAGTAAACAAGGGTTTGGCAGGGACGCAGCATGAGATGTTACTATATGGAGGGAAATAAACTGTTCTGGTCAGAAGACACTTGTTAATTTAAAATGTCTGCTTTCTGTATCTTATCGTATACAGAAAACTTTAATGAGAATCACAAAATGGTTTTGTCCTTTTAGTTTTCAAGACAGGGTTTCTCTGCACTGGCTCTCCTGGAACTCAGAGATCTGTCTATCTCTGCCTCCCCAGTACTGTGACTAAAGGTGTCCACCACTACACTCGGCAAGGAAGTGTTTTAACCTATATTTATTAAGATTTCTTTTTCGACAATCCCAGGAACCAGGAGGTTGATAGGAAGATTGCGAAGATTAGGGAAGTCTGGGCTACAATAATTATTCCAGGCCAAAGTGGGACACAGTGTGACAGCTCTGCTATTCTCAACTCTTGGTCCCCTTCCCTGTTCTATTATCTGGCCACTATTATCTGGCTGAAATATTCTCTTTGAACAAAACTATTCTGAAGTTTATCTCAGAGAAAATGTTACAAGATAGCAAATATTTTTAAAAGATCAAAAGGAGGTATCATATTAAAGTAGGGTTAAAGATAACACAAAGGAACTAAATTAACATAAACAAAAGGCCCACAGACAGACAAAAAAACTTACTGTGTATTCCTCAGTGTAGAAAGGAAGCTCAGCCAATAAATGTCAACAACAAGGGGCTGGAGAGATGGCTTCGCTGTTAAGAGCATGTGTTCTTGCAGAGGATCTAGGTCCAGATCCTAGCACACACATGGCTGCTCACAAGCATCTGCAACT